GAGGAGTGTTAGGGTTAATTAGTTTTATGTCTGATTTTTCTTTTCCTTTTTAGGTATGTAGTTTTTAGTACTCTTCAAGGTGTGTATTGTTTTCTTGTATTTATTCTTTAACTTTTAGCGTTTAATGTTTGTTTCGATCTCTTATTATTTTATCTGATTTTAGACGAGGTTTAGTGTCTTCTGTTTGAACCAGTTTTGGTTTTTAAATCATTTTAATTTATCAAGTGTGAGTTTTTTTCTATTAATCTTTATTTATGTATATATAATTTTAACATAATTAAAGTCAGGCCTTATGGAAGACCACCATATGGTTGTAGTAGACTCAATGAAGAGGCGAGATCTCCGTGAGGAGGTTTTGGGTGTTGCCATGCAATGACTTTACTGGTTTATTGCCATCGATTGCCAAGTATAAAAACCCTGTTTAAAAAACAAATCAAATTAATCTTTTTAAGAAATTGCACATAACGATCTTTCCATTCTGAAAATTTATTATACATTATAACTAAATTCAAACGTGTGGGACAGTAGCTCCGACAAGCGCATGCACACGAATGTGCATATTGTTTATGTTACATGTACATGTACTAACCGTACTATCACCCCTGGTACATTGTGCAACGCGTAATGCTGACATTGTGATTCACAATTTCCCTCCACAAAACAAGACATGTAATAAAGAACGTTTCATACCAGCCAGTGCCCAAGGGCCTCCCGGAAGCTTCTCCAGTCTCTGACGGAAGTTTTTCCCTTTAGAGCCCCCACAAACCCGCAAAAGACGCCAACAATGTAGCTCGACTGGTGACAGCCCCACTAGTGTGGCTAGACTGGTGACAGCTTGGGGCTCGGCAATGTGACTCCGAGAAATCCCTGGAAATCGCCTCACAATACTCCTTGTTCAGTATTACATCGCAAATAATTTCTAATGATTCTCCAAAATGAACACTCACAAACTCAATAAATATTATAAAAAATACACCTTGTGAACTGTTACACTTGCTGTGATTACCGAAAACCCTATAATATGATTCTCCTCAGTGAGGAACATGTGCGAGTCACCCCCTGATGCCCCCTACCATCATGACACCCTTGCATTATCTTAAGGCCTCAAGGGATTCCTCAATGCGAGGAAGGGGGAATGAGTCACGCACAGTTTTGGCATTTAGACGCCTGTAATCAATACATAAGTGCAGGCTGCCATCTCTCTTTCTTACTAACACCACTTGGCTTGCATACGGACTAGTGCTACGTCTTATGATACCGTGCTTTAAAAGTTGTTGCAAGATCTCCCTTCCTGAAAATCCCTGGGCGGGATCCTACGGTAAGGCGACTAATTGGAGTATCATCTACGGTGCGAATTACATGAGGAACTGTGTCACAGCGACCAAGATCAAACTGGTGTACTGAAAATACTGCTTAATGTTTTTGCAACAACTGCACAAACTGATCCTTCTGATCCCCTACCAAATTACAAGATGACGGCGTCAGCCTTGGAGGTAACTTATACTGGGTCCCGTCACTAAATACAAAAGTCTCTTGGGAGGGAGGCACAGGTGAGTCCACTGGCACGTCTGACTTAGGCTCATGCCCAGCCTCCACATGTTTGTTCACCACATCTTCCACTAGAATCTCACTCACTGAAACCTGTAGTGAGCTATCCTTTTCCTCAACCCCAATTGGATCCATACATATCACTGAGGCCTGTGCCAATTTTGTGTGTGTGTGTGGGGGGGGGGGAAATCACCACAGCCCGAGTTCCAAGATTGCCCGCCAAAACATGAATAGAGCCACCATTTGTGTACCCACATGAATCATATACTCTTAAGTGCAGAAGAAACACAAGGCGCACTACCCCCTTCATCATTTACTTCTCCACCATCAGCCCACTGACTATCTAACAGAGACATTTTGTCTCTGAATACCTCACCCGGAGCTCTAATTTGACACTGGATGGTTTGAACCTGCCTCGGGGAATAGTCATTGGTTTTCCATAGGTGAGCACAGACGCTGATTTTCTTGACCCTTCATTTGATTGTTTTTTTCCACAATGTGGCTCCTTTGCGAGACGGTACCATTGCAAGGCCACACTTATTGCCTCGGCATCCTGTACTTTGGGGTCAATTACGATGCCCTTCAACAACTCAAGTATGTTACATCCAATGAGTACAGGGCTCTTCCGACCCCCCAGCCTACACTGCAATGGGTCTCTAATAACCAGGAAGTGAGTGAGAACCGAATAGTTGTGCACAACTAATGGGACCTCAACATATCCCTCCACAGGAAGCTCCAAGGAATCAACCCCACACACCCTAAGATAACGGCCAAGAGGCTTTGGACCACTCATTCGTCTTGGTGAATGTTCCTCAAAGAAAGGTGAGCTCATTAGTGAGGTTTCTGCACCTGTGTCTATTATACAAGTTACAGGAATTCCTGCCAAGGTCGCATTCACTGAAGGGCTTTTATGCACAAGACAATCGAGCAGTTCACTTACTGTATACTTGGGCAACTCTTCTCCCTTACAAGGAACATTACCCCCAGGTGAGGCCACTTCAGAGACCTGCTCCATCACTTGGCCTACAGTGATGGGGGACTCGTGTTTAACTCCCCACTCTGTGTGGGCTTATTTGGGTTTGACCCCACACTGGCTGGCTGCCCTTGTCCCCCAGAGGGCTGACCAGCAGGTGTGGACTTTGGGCCACCAATAGTACGGTCAAACTTGCAGTTTGCCCTAACATGCCCTGGGCGTTTACATGCATAGCACACCACACGCCGCCCCCTTGACCAGTGCCGGACTGCTTTGGACTTGAACTCTTAATCACATGCTCCATAAGACTGGCGAACTGCTCTTGCTGCTTCAAAATTTGCTCCTGGTGGTTCTTTATACACTTTATCATCTCAGTTTGCTGCTGCATCAGCTGTTGAAACTGTGATAAGTTTGGGGTCCGAGCAGCCACCCCCTCTACTGCAACATCGACCACATCATCTCTATGATTTAAAACCCCTTGATCATCTATAACAGGTTCATCAACCGCAATATCCACTTGACGTACCTGGGTGCGCTTCACCTTTGGCCTATCAATGTCCCTAAATAGATCCAAAGCAGCATCCCAAAGTTCACGAAAGGTCTGCCCAGGTTTGGCCAACTCAAGTCTGCGTAGTTCTAAACGCATGGCTGGGGTCTTAGCCCCAGCCACAAATTGGTTGATAAGAACTTTATCCTTAAGGCCCATAAGCCCTTCCTTTTCTCCTTCACTTCCAACTTCAACAATCCGGTCATACAACCGACTAAGGCAACGTTAATAGTCCACAAGGGACTCGCCTTCTAGTTGGTGGCGCTCATACAGGGACTTTTTGCAATGACTGTACAGTTTCGTCAGCCCCAAATTGTTTCTTGAGCAGTTTGACCAAGGCCTTATAATCTCCTTTCACCTGAGGATTACATTTGACTTCATCACGAGCCAACCCACCCAAATGATAATACACAATTTGTGTCTTTTCTGTATCTGGAACCCTGCATTGCTGACAATAAATATCAACCTCATCAATCCACTCAAGGATAGTTGGATCACCTGAAATAGTTGGTCGCCCATTAAACCTAACCAATTTAATGGCCCTTTGTGAAATTGGCTTCTGATTTGTCTTGATGGTCTCCGTCAATCCTTGCATCAAGGCGTTCAACAAGGCTAGCCTCATTGTTGGCCATTCTGAAAACCTAGAACCATAAGGGGATTACTACCAATGCACTGTTACAAACTCTGACCACCTATTAAAATACAGGACGTAAGCAATGGCTGTTTTTTTTTCAATTGACACAAATTACAGTATTTACAATAAAATAAATACTACACTACTGGCTTAAACCTATTGAGCTGAGCGATGGATGACTCAGTTCAGTCACTAGTGTGCCACACTAGTGGGGCTAGACTGGTGACAGCTTGGGGCTCGGCAATGTGATTCAGAGAAATCCCGGATAAAGCACTCACAACACTCCTTGTTCAGTATTACAACGCACATAATTTCTAATGATTCTCCAAAATGAACACTAACAAACTCAATACATATAATCAAAAATACACCTTGTTAACTGTTACACTTGCTGTGATTACCGAAAATCCTATAATATAAATAAGTGTGTAAAAGGAGCCTATTATTTCCCTTTACGGATGACGGATTCAATGGAACAGCGCCCCCACATGTAAACAACTTCCTTTGCCTTGGTGTGAAACAGATAATTAAGATACTGTACATTGCGATGTTTGGGATCTGGACTTTTTTTTCTGGTTTTTTCCCTACATGGTGAATAAGTTATACCCTGGATAAATATTATAAATAAATAAATTTTAAAAATCGAGTAGGATGTCTACCCTCATTTTAGCAAACAGCCTCTAGTAAAAGGTGCTATAGTCTCCCACAGCATTGCCCATGGAATGGCTTGGTATCTAGCGAATAATCTGCCCTCCTCCAAGGCAACAGCACCCATGCACAAGGTGGGTCAGTCTCCCACAGTAGTTTACCACAACGTTCTCCCTGTTTGAGTGCTGTTGAATATATTTTGGTTGTTGGAAACTCCGAAACATTCTTCTGCCTTGATTTTTTACTTTCCAGGAAATATTGGGGGATGATTTAGTGGCCCACCTAACCCAGTCAGTGGAGGGGATAATCACCCTGGGATTTACGCTAAGGATCCTCTTTATTTTTCGTGTATTTGCAATCGCTGACTGGAAATGGGAACTTTTTTTGTATGTATCCAATAATATCTAATGGACACACATTGACTTGGACTCGAACTATAGTAGAGGACGAGGACTCGAAATAGTGGGACTCTGACTCGGAAAATATTGACTAGACGGTCGGGTTTCCCACCTAGTAACTTCGTCGGTGTCGCTAATTAACAGTGTAGAGCCTCACATTGATTCCCGTCGTCGCGTACGCTATAGCATTGTACTATCCTCGCCGTACTGAAGGGATCAAATTGGCGCCAAGTCACGTTACGTAACGTAACATTTTAGTTGAACCAATGTGCAAATTATGATTTCGTGCCTTCGGCTTAGTCTCCCTCGCCTACAGCCGTTATGGTGCTTACTGGCGCTCGGTAAACACGACGCCCATTTTCCTTGAGTTTGTCTTCTTCGATAATCCGCACAATCACGGTAAAGGTTTCAGTCTCACTGACGGAGCTGAGATGTATGACACCGCTATGGTTAAAGACCGGCTATGCATCATTACTAAACAGCGATGACCCTCGTTAGATGTAACCACTGGCAATCGACTACTCTGATGAGGAAATGGCGTCGCGAGGTCTCATCACTATGCTCGTCCGAAAGGTTTGTGGCATAACTGTCCGATTTATATTCTGTAGTTTGTTTTTAAAGCATGGCAAAACCCTTACGATTCTTAAAACCCTGATTGCAATTTAAATTGGGCAGTGGGAGATGTGAAGTCTAACGGCGCAAGGTTCAATATCACACTCACAACGTTCCTTCAAAATGACAAAAAAAAATTGTTCACTGCATTTGCGATTTGCCAATAAAAAAGCAGAGCACTATTTGACGAAAGCTCTCCCATTGTTTGGATCGAATTCCTTCTGTCCTTGCTGGACAAAAATATCGGGGTCTTGTGTCCTGTATGTTGAGTTAGCTAACTTCAAATCATATTGTCATTCTGTTGGTCTTGTGAGATTGGTGCAAAGGCGCTGAGCTCATCACTAAAACGCCTTCACTAAAGTGTCCTGAGTTCGTTAAACTTCTCATAATGTAGTCAAATTAAGTTGTCAATCAAACGCACACTTGTGTTGTCCGTCAGGTCACTTTATCGTTTTTAAGTATAAACCTAAGATGGTGTGCACATTATCTTAAAAACACTGAGTTTGCAGTGTACCCACAGCGACCATACAGGGTTCTGTAGATAGACTTAATATACCTGCACCAACATTATGCCTACTTGTGCATTCAACGTGTTAATCATACAACCACAAAAAGCCAAAATGACTCCAATGATGCACAATTGCTATGATCACATCATTGGAAGGCACATGGCGGGGAAATATTTCTGTTTAGCCCCACCAAAATACACCTGTGTACCACGGGTCTCGAAAAATGTGCGTGCACACTGCCAATTTTGAGTGAGCAGGTGAGGTGAAGAGGAGTCCTACACGAGTTGTGTATCCACAACGGTGTAATTATTACTCCAGTATTTCAACATCCTATGTACCCGATGCCAGAATGAATCGATCCATACAAGCCATAGCAACAATGTCCATTGCCATGTTTGGACTGAAGTCACTATTACCTGAAGTCAAATTTACCCAGCGCTCCAAAATCGCGCTCCGATGTCGTAGTTTCCATTGCTCTGGCAAATTGAATAGAAATCAACCAGACAGGAGTCTTGTCTTTATGGGGAAGAAGAAAATTCAGCTCTGTATAATAAGCTTTCTAAAATGTCCTTTCCTTAAACCATGCGTTAAACGCACATTTCAGCGAGTCGAGTGCTCTAAGCTTTACATGTAGATGGTAACCTTTGGTGAGGCGGTAAATGCGGGCAAATATTTACCCGCGGAATTTTCCCTCGCGGCACAAAGAGTCGGGAATGTTTGCCAAGGGGGCGTAAGCCAAGCAGTTTTCCCTGGTATGCTGGTTCGTTTCCGCTTTTGGTTTCACTTTCTCCAGTGTGGGATAGTGTAACAACAAGCCGTCTCTAAGATACTGTTTACCTTTGTGGTATTAACATGTAGTTACCAAAACTGCGAATGTCCGTAGCTCTCCAAACTTACACGGCTGCTGTCTTCTATTTCAAGTAGATGGTTAAACTTTTAATATGTCATCCGAATTGTAAAGAGAATCATTTATTCGGGCAAAACCCAAACAATTTCATTTGCCTGAACGTCTCGGGGTATGCGAGCCTTGGGTCAAGCTGATGAGAAACCCCTTATTAACAGGGTTATGAAGGCAAAGTCATTTTCTTGACTGCTAGCTGTAGGTGCCTTGAGCGTATTTTTACCCGTTTTCTATACAGGCTAGACGTGCCAAAATCTCACAGACCTCTCCTTGTCACGGTCTTGTTTTAACCTATCAGTGACTGGTATAAGTACGGCTGCAAAAGACTAAGTCACTTTGTGCTGTAACGCTGTCTCTTAAGCAAATGCACAAAATGTATAAATTATATACAACGTTTATTAGCTTACATTGGTGAAGAACTTATCCCAACACTGAATTTTCGGTTTGTGATGTAATGAGAGAAGGAATTGTCTTGCAAGCAAGGTGGCATCTCTATAAGGTTTTAATCTCAAAGTGCGTTTGCATTATCTGTAGATTTCCAATAACAAGATTGCGGTGGTCCTTGGCTGTCTTACTGGAACCCTTCTATGGATGTTGACGTCCGGAATGGTCAACAGTAGCCTGAGTATGACAGCAAGTGCTTCTGCAGCTGTAAACAGGGATGGATCGCTGATCGGTAAGCAACTCTTTCGGAGGGGATACCAATCGGTACTAGCCCAAGGGTGCATCAAGAATGTCCTCATTTTCGGGGACGTGAAGGACATGGAGGAGTGGCCAGAGCTCCAGGCTATTACAAAGATTCGGCAAAGGGAAGTTGGCGGGGCATGGAATGGGCAGATCGAGTGTCCCGCGTACGACTGCAATATTTCTCTCACGGTCGGCGCCAACGTGTCTCTGACAGACAGGATGGACGCCGTGGTCTTAGGCATGCTTCCCAAGGTTTTCAAAACGCACCTTCGTGAACTGGTTCAGGTCGAGCCACCAACGGGACAGACCTGGGTTTACTTCAGCACCGAGACGCCTTTCAGGGTCACCGTGTGGTCCAAGTCGCTGGCCCTGCGCCAGTTGAAGTACCACAAGATGATGACATACAGACGAGACTCCGATGTCTACCTCCCGTTTGGCTACTATAGAGAACACCAACCCAATGTGAATCGGAGAGTACCCAAATCACACAACCACGCACAGGGTAAAGACGGCCTCATTGTGTGGATTGGCAGCAACTGTTTTGAAGTGACGTGGCCACGCATTCCTTTCATAGCAAGACTTCGAGAGTTGCTACCTCTTAAGACCTACGGCAAATGCGGGGAGCTGTCCTGCTATCCTCAACGCTCCGAGCGCTGCAATATAGCCATGCGGCGATTCAAGTTCTACCTAGCCCTGGCCAACAGCGAATGCCGAGACTACATCACCGAGAAGTTCTGGGCCAACTCCCTTGGTTACAACATCGTGCCTGTCGTGTACGGGGCACCCCGAGAGGACTTTGAGAAGGTCGCACCACCCGACTCTTTCATACATGTCAGTGACTTTCCATCCTTGGAGTCCCTGGCGGAATATCTAATATTCCTTGACCAGGATGACAAGCTCTACAACTCGTACTTTGAATGGAGGAAGCGTGGGGTGATTGGTCATTCGTTCCCCATAACTCCCACCACCATGTGTGAGATTTTACCCCATCTCTATAATGGAACTGAGCAGGAAGTCAAACGGATAGGAGATTCCCAGTGGTACAATGGCTGCCGCAAACCTGTGCAATCTGTCAATGGATTTGTAGTTGAGAGGCAGTATGCCCTCTACGACGCTTGGAGACCATGGAAACTGTTGGACAGCCGATAAAACGTGGGGTTCATCAACTAAATCTTGTACCGAAATGGATTCCACAAGACACGTAAGAATGGTATAGCTCATTTCAGCTGATATATGGTATCATTTATGATATCGTTTCTGCTGCCAACAAGAGACACAATGCGTGAAAATTTTCTACTGATTTTCAAGTGAATGTGTACAATCATCTGTCGGCAGCCTGTGTACAACTTTTCTTGATAAGAGAGGAATGTACATAAGCACGCGTCAAGCCTGGATTCCCACCGAAAACTATCCTGACAGGGCAAGACATTAAAAGACAGAGTAACGAGTTTAGAGAGTAAAAGTCACTTCAGTGAACTGAACTTTGTATCTGTCGATGCATTACATACAATGACAGTCACAGGGCTGATTTTTAAAAAGCATTTATACTCTGTAATAAAAGAAAACCAATTAATTCAGAATGACAAACTGAAATGTATCTAGAAAAAGTTAACCAGAGAGATTTTGACGTGTAGTTTCTAGAAAATATCAATGGCCAAATCATAAATGACTGCCACAGAGACGAATAGCCAAGGTTACATACTGTAATAGTTTATTTTGTACGTTATATATTAACACAATTTACATGTACAATATACTCATAGGTTTGTCGAGTTGTTAAAATAGGATTATATTGAAACGCAAGTACAGCGTAGTAGGTTATTACCTTTGTTGCTTGGAGAGCAAATTAAACAAATGAAGTACGGTAGTGATGGGAGCAGTTTGCATGCTTCAAAACAACTGCCAATTTATGCACATGAAAGTTTCCACTATGTAAGATTTGTGCTGATGATTAAGTTGGGGTATTTTGTCCTGGGAATGTGGGTTGGACCATAGTCTTAAGAGTCATAGTGCTGTTGTCCAAGGGGCAAAAGATAACAAATGGTAATGCCAATATCGTCAGGAGCGCATGGAAAGGTGGACAGCAGTGGGTACCAAAATAGGTACCCATTATGTTCCATCATCCTGTTATTCCCCCCTTCACCCTATTTAGGTACAACGTTCTCCTAGGCACCAATGAGCCATGGCCACCCAGGAACCCAGTGTTACTTGCAAAACAGTGGGTACCAAAACAGGTACAGTACCCTAATGCCCCATCACCTTTTGGTTCCCCCTTTACCCATCTGGGTACTTGGTACAATATTCTCCTGAGCCTTTAAGAAACAAGGCCACCCATGCGACATGGCAACCCAGAAGAGAGCATTCTTGAATAAGGAAGTTTTTGAGATGCTCCTGGAAAGTGGCATTAACTTTCTCCATCTCCAACCCTACTGGCCTCCAATATTTGGTACCTCATTGTTCTATGAAAAAAGCCACTTGTCATGGTATAAGGCAAAAACCTAATTGACCTGCGTGCCTCTTCCACAGTATTTGCAACTGCACTCGCCTCCCTTTATGCTCAGACAAGGAATGGAACAGGAGCAACTAAGATGTCCATGTCAATGCTCTTGTAACTTGGCCAAAGAGCGCCCTCATTGGAGAATGTACGAAGCCAACAGCCTACGAGCCTTCAAGAAAGTGGCGGCCTTACTGTAGTGGTGCTCCTGCTTTCCTCTGTGGTGTTAAGGCAACTGATTTGCAAGGGTGAGAAGAAGATGTCGTGATCTGTGCCTTCACAGGTCCACGCTGGGCTCCATAAATCCCCATGATTGGCCCAGCGAGCAAATGCATCGACCAGTCTCACTGACATGCAGTTATTGGCTAAACTCATTGTCAGTGAAGACTTGTGTATTGCTTTAGGTAGCTCTCTGCAAAGAGGCTGTTTTTCGGTAAGATGACAAAAAGTGGATCCTTGGCCACCAAATACCTGAGAAAAAAGTTTAAAACAAAGAACCAAAATAACATCCACGAGTATTGTATAGTAAAACAACCCTCAACATGGTGCTTTGTTAAAGAATCTCTGAATAAAGTTTTTCAAATTCAAGGTAGGGCTGCATGTTCAAACTTGCTTTCAACCTGCTAAAAAAATTCAGACTCAACTAGTCAATGTATTTGGTGACTTGTCACATTATCCAGTAGAATAGACTGGCCCAACAACGATTCAGAATTAAACAGTCACTCACAGGTTGTATGCACGAATCAATAATGTTTCTTCATCCCGTAAAGGAGTCCCATTTGGGAATCTCACGTAACAGTGTCAGAGCCACTGCAGTGACGTCTTCTCAGACTAGTCTACAGATCCAACACCTGATGGATTCTGTAAAAATGTGATTGTTTTTGAGCACAAATCCAGTTACAAGACATGTACCAGTTTGACCCAGAATTTCCGAGGATGTACATGTAACAATCTGCTTATTGAGCATAATGGAGACTTTTTTTAACAATGCAATGACAAATTCCAGGAATCACCTTGGATCTTGCAGAGTAGCTCTGAGCGTGGAGTCTGGGGTGACCTCAACAAGTTGAGTGCCTTCTGAAGGATGGAAGTAGATCTGAGGGGTGACAAAAAATACCCAATATTAGAAGTAGCACATTAATAGCCATTCTTTATTTTGGCTGTGATATGAAAGATTTACAACATAAACAACACTTAAAGAAATAACAAACTGAGGTTGAATTGAATCGACAACATGGGTTTAAACATTCAAACAATGATGAATGTGTGTTAAATACAGAGTTTGTGGTAAATTTAATGAAGGCTTGCAATGAAAACTGTTCCATGCCACTGCCCACAAAATATCATCTGTAAGCTTAATATTATGCACTAAGCATAATTATAAGAATTATAACAATATTGCTGACTGTGTTTTGAAATTGTTCACACCAACCTGCACAGTGTGGGGCTTGTACATGCCACCCTTATCCCAAGGAGCAGACTCTTCGAATAGGATTTGTAAGTGGTCTGAGAAACTGGAAAAGCAAAAAACGACAGCATGGGTTTATGCCGACGGATTCCTATTGTGAAAATTTCTCTCTTCAAGAAACCTCAAATGGGCATTATGGTAAACGTGGGAAGTTAACCCTTGTGTGATGCTAATAAATAAAAGCGACCTGTTTGGAATAAACTTGACCACAATTTTCGAAATTCTGGGCTTAGGACTATTCTTGTTTTAACGTTACAACTCATTTGCTGGTCTGAAAGGGTACAGCTCTACACCCACCTGCACCCTTTTTTGTAACTCACATGGAGTCTTCGTGAAATGCTTGGACAAAGTCACTCTGGCCAAACTCCGGGTAGAGAAAGGTCACCGGCCAGGTCAGATTTCCGGACTCGTCTAGAGTGACGGCAGCACCTGCTGGGTGCTGGCTGCTGACCGCTTCCAGGATCAGCTGGTCTTGGGACTTGGCCTTTGGGTCGTCATTGCTGAACTGACCATATTGTATGTTCCGACTCTGATGATCAAACACAGGCTGATTTCAAAGGTAAGTTCATAATTTTCCGCACACTAGTGTCCCCTAGGTAACGGCAGTTTTACTTTTGTCATGGATTTCAGTGTTTCTCATTCCATTATCAGCCATCTAAATGGTTGAGCACCCGTACTGAGATCAGAAGGTTGGAAGTTTTGAATCCCACTTAAGCTCATTTGTCTTTGACCAAATAAAGGACTGAAATTCTGAGAAGACAGTTGTGACGAGGTTTCACACCCATTTCCAAGTGACCAAGCCTGGAAATTCAGTCACGATCTAATTCCTGATCAGCATACCTCATACATACTCATATCGCTTAGATGTTTAATTTTATTGGACTTTTCAGTTTTGGGACATCAGGTTTGGTCCAGAATTCTTCAAAGAATCTCTCAACTACGACATTACGGAACCATGAGAATTTCCCATTTATCTTAACAGTCACAATCGTGTCACACCCAGCAGTATGAACCTACTTTGATAGCTTCTACAATCTTCAATCTTCTCGCATGTGCCGCCTTTTCTTCAGCTTTTCGTTTCCTCTTGTTCCTCTCCCAAAGTTTCTTTCACAGATGAATGAAGGAAGAATTAACAAAAACAAAGAATTGTGATTAAGGATATGTGTCAAGATTTCCATCAAATCCGTTTTTGTAATACACATAATGTTCCAATGTTGGATTTGATTTTACACTTAGAAAATTGTTTTGTCATTGATTCAGAGGTGGTATGTGAGTTCCATATGACAATAACAAATAATCAAATGTTACCTGTTGTTTAATGGCTGCTAGTCTCAGTTCCAGGACCTTTTTATCGTCTGGAGTAATGTGACGCCGAGTTAAGGGTGTTTCCTTTCAACCTTGCCAAAATCATTTCTACTCTTTGGAAATTACGATTCAAATGCAAACTTGAAGACTTCCACAATTCAAAGTGAACTGAACGGTGATTTAGGTCAAGCTTACTCCATGGGATTATATCTTGGCACCCTGCCACCGAAACTTGAACAGTGACTACCTGAACGATAGACTTTGATGAGAAAGGATATTTTCAGTGCCTTATCACACCACGTTATGGCTTCATCGTAGTCTTCCAGTTTAATACAGCATTCGGCTGCTCGAATCAACGCCTTCATGTGAGCAGGATTGTGTTTGACTGCCTCGGTGGCATCGTTGGCGGAAGAACGGTAATTACCTGATGGATATAAACCGCAAAGGAGAATAAAAAAGTAAAGTCAGCCTGTTTGATATAAACAAAAGCTTGTGATGTGTGTGAATTCTCAGTGTTGTCCAATATGCCCCTTTGTGTTTCTATTCTTTCCGTTGTAGCAATTCTGGAAACAGGCCCTACAACAAATAACTGCCGACTACATCTCCATTTACTGACAACCAACCAGCTCACCCAGGTGGAAGTTGGCTGCTGCTCTGTTGGCATACAGCACAGCTCGCAGCTCGCTGTCCTCAAAGTTCTGCTTCAGGCCTTCAGTATATGCCGTAATTGCAACTTTGTACTTTTTCTTCTTGAACCACTGGTTGCCGTCTTCTTTGTGAACTCTTGCCTGCTCTGAGAATGGCCAAGAACAATATCATTTTGTCGATCCTTCAAATAGGCATGGAAAATAATGACGTAGAGTTCCTACCTGTGTAACTCTCCCATTCCAAGCCAAACTTTTTGGTTAAGAAGTTCTTGCACCGTACTGCAGTGCTTTGTGGGATTCTTGAGATGTAAATGACTTCCAGATTCTCAAGTTTTACGCCAAATGACAAAATTACAGTGCCCTCTTGTAGCATATATATACATACATATACACATTGAAAGGCAATTAAAAAGATGGCACTACACTATTAAGGCAAACATGAGATTAAACCAAACTAAATGGGAAAAAGTTAAGTGGTTGCGAGACCTCAACAACCGTTACTAGGGTACTGTTATGTTCATTTGCTGCTGTTCACCTTCAAATACTAAGTAAATGAGTAACCTTACACGAGCGATTAATAATCACGACACCATCATAGTCTGTACCATCATATGCCCAACACTGCCTCCTTCTAAAGTGCTTATCAATCCCCGCCCATTAGAGTACCTTCAGGAGGATCATCTTGGTCATACTTGATAGCCTGCAGAGCTGCTACTAGACTGTTATCCTCTGCATCGTCTGGTATCTCGTTCATGAATGCAGGAATCTTGTCAATCTCCTTCATAAGAATGGATCAAAGCGAATTTTGGAATTAAGTCTTATTCATCCAGCATGACCATCCATGACCAACAGGGATGGAATGGAATATGATGCATGTTTACAACTTCACGTCCAACTCCCAGTGCCGGGTTTATGGTTCATCCTTCTAAATTTTAAATGAGTGCATTTAAAGAAAGTGAGGCTCCCTCATCAAAACTTGTCTTCAATCAAATGTTAATTTAACATCCACTGAAGGCCAAAGGCTGAGTTTTAATGGAGACCATTGGTTGTAAACTTTTAATTTGTGAAAATGTCAATGTTCTAACAATGGACAGGACATACAGTCCAAAATGTTAAGGACCATCCTGTTTTCCACAGTGCTACCGCAAACCTTTTATCATGTTTGCTTCAGAATTAAAATGTTAATTAGAACTTCTGCCTTCTGGTCAGAAAATGTCTAAACAGCAATTGAGGAAATGACGCATAGCCTAATTTCCTTTTTCTTCAGGAATGTAACTAAATTTAGCTTTAAACATGGTCAACAAGTTCTGAATTCTTTCTTGTATTATAAAACTGCCTTCACTTTGCCAACATCGCACAGCGCCCTCAAGAGTGTATACAACTTTGATATGATTATGAATATGACGATTGCTTGACACAAGCGTGTACTGTACAATGTAGTGTAGGTAGACATTACAAAAATAAAAACAATGTTTAAACATTGTTCCCGGTGTGGCGGTCTCATCTGTCTCCCGGTCTCAGCAGTCCCTCTGACGTAGCCGGACGTACAACGGTAAGCATGCATGGACTGCACTGCTCAGCACGCCACTTAAGTTAAACGGACGACTTTCCCGTTGTTGTGCGCAGAGATGGCATGCCGTATTTTTTCCACTAAGGGGGACCACTGAGACCGGGAGACAGCTGAGACCGCCACACCGCCATTCCAGTTTCAAGAGAAAGGTGAGAGATAAAAGCGAGAAAAAAAAACCAAAGATACATGACAAGAAGGTAAATTAATTCGGCGTTTGAAAGATTTGTCCGGAAACTAGGCACGACGAAAGGCCTAGGCCTACCTTTTCCCAGTTTTTCAAGAATTCTTCGTTTTCCTTTTGTAAACAGCCATCCTTTTTCTTGTTAGCATACTTGGGGTGTGACGCAGCTTCGTCCAAGTACCGGTCAAACATTGAATCCAAGTCCACTCCCATCTTGCCGTCTCTTTCAGTTTCATCACCGTCTTTTGAACCCACGTCATGAACGTTGTCCGCCGACTTTTCCGCCATGTTGAATTCTAGGTTACCGTGATGGTCCATTGCGTAAGCAGGTAGGGTCGATGAACTTTTGAACCAATTAAAAGCTGGAGTGATATCTGGTCAAGATTCCGCGCGGTTTCAGTGACTTTTCGCCAGAATTTTCAATCAATATGAAATGTTGGGCTTTACTCAGTTCAGAAATTGAGAAAACGATTTCCCTACTTCTTAGGAGAAAATGAAACACACCGACAAAATCTGCAGGGATTTGGGGACAGTTTGGAAACAACCACGTGTACTATATTATTATTATTTATTTTTCTGGAGGGATCAAGTTCAAGTTGAAAGCATTTCCTGATCACGATACTTGTAAAATTCTCCGCAGCAGAGGCTTTTTTTCGGGGAAACAAATTAAAGCACGGTATACAAGTTCCTGTAACAAGTCAAACATCAACTTTAATGCGTTAACATTGGAAGTAACTTTCAGTAACTCGCAAGAAGTAGTCACATAATTCTCAGTTGTCTCTGTTTAAAACAATACATGCATGTATAAAAAAGACTTTTTGTAGAAGTCAAAGGCAAATTACACAATATGTTAAACCGCACACTTCCTTGAAAGATTACGTACACATGTTGACGCTGCGTAGGGTGTATAGCAAGGCGCAACCTAATTATGTTGCAATCGATGGGCCGTATCGATCAAGTGGATAATCGATCTGCAATGTTGACTTCATGACCATTGAAACTCCTTGGGCTTCTTAGTAATGCGAAAATAAAGAAGAGGGCATGGGAGTTGCTTTAATCCATTCATGTGCGTCCGATGATTCTGTAAAACAATCTCTACTAACGTGAAAAATTATAAGAAGTTAACAAGGTAATAAAATCTAGCCCAGGAGTGGCGACGAACCGCTCTCATATTTTCCTCCAATTCACACCACTTGGTGGCGTAGTTTGGGAAATTTACTAATAATTCTATTGATCAATCACCAAAATAACTGAGAAGTTCGATTCAATTAGAACTGCTAGTAACCCGTCCCTCCTCGCAGTGTCAATGACTTATTTGCCAAGTTACTGTAGTGGCGTAACAAGGGGGGAGGGGGGGGGGCAGGTGTCCCCACCGAATGCTCTTAGCCCCCGGGGTACCCCCCCCATTTGAAATCTATGAACAACCTCTGCTGCAGCTCATTGTCTGTTGGTGCTCTTTTGAACAAAATGTGTGCACCCCCGGGTGCCCCCGAACATAATAGCCCTTGTTACGCCACGGAGTTACTGTCAAACAGCAGCTCAGTACATGTAATTAACTTTTTTTCAAACATGCGACTACACTACACCACACGAACTACACTATTTACATGATGGTGAAAATAAGTCGTTACTCCACATTTATCCAATGTTCAAAGCACTGTACACCTTTAAGACCACAATTTAGTACGTAGTTACCGACTTGAAAGGACTAGTAGTTTCCTTTAGGCCTAAAAGTTTCCTTTAATACAAGTTTGTCGAGTTTTCTTGCTGTTGAGATTTTGTTGAAACAAATTAAACGCAAGTTGATAAAGGTTCACTCTGCAACTTCTGAGAAGTCTAAAAGGTGACTTCACCAATTTATGTCAGTGTGTAATTGATACAGAGTGGAAATTAGGCGAGAAGAATCTTCAGGTAAGATCAAGAATGAAAAAGCTTGTTGTAGAGCCAAAATTTTGAGAATAAATCTCGAAAACAGGTTCTTTTTAAAAGTCTGTGATCTGTAATGGTATCACAATTGTTTCAATGAGCTGTTTTATTCGTAGTAGATTCCGTAAACGCTGACAACCACGAAAAGGGAAGAATTTTCGTATGTGACTGTAACAAAGTTGTCAGTTTTAGCGTCCCAAACGCAGCGGCCGCACGCTTGCATACCCTGATCTCGCTTCTCTCCGACTATCACGTACACCACGATCCGATGCCGGGTAAAACCCATCTTCTTCATGCGAGCTTTGATGACGTCCGCGAGGCTAGTCGTCAGGGAGCTGCAGGTGCGAGGGTCGTACCGCTCTGATTTGAGTCGCATCTCTAGAAGTTCCCAGAGGAACTTCTCCACCTTGGGCCCGTTGAAGCTGGTGCTGGCGTCCGGCTCCGTCCGGTACGAGTTCTCGAAGCGCTTCTTGGGCAGCGTGACCGCGGGCTTGTTCACCGTCGTCTTGGTGCTTGCGGTGGTGGAGACAGAGAGTTTGCGAGCCACCGTGGACCACACCGACATTTTGCGGCCGAGCGTCTTGATTGACGGGGCTTGGTTATCGCTCTGCTCCGAGGTACTGGCTGCATCTCCTGCAGGTGGAACACTCCCGTTGGCACCTGCCTCTTCGGAGGCGGGTGCTTCCTTGTTCTGCGCAGCTTTTATCAACTTCAGAAGTGACATCTTGCGGATAGAGACAATTCTACGAGTGGTTTGCAACGTCCAGGAATATTTGGAATTGAAAACAAACCGATATTGAGGACCATTGACCGATTTGCGGAAGTTCAAATCTGAGCAAGTTTTAAGGCTATGCGTCCATTTAGTTATTCGCTGGTTTGATGGATAGCTTCCGTGGTCATTCATAAATTACATCATCAGTAAGAGGTTCAGCAGAATGCTCTCTTGAACTAATATTTAGTGACTTCGATCCAGAGGAATTTGAAATCCCCACACCAATCCCAGTAAACAGCGAAGACACTTCAGTTGAAACTCGATCCGGGTCCTCCAAGTATCTGCTTCTAGACAGTAGACATCCCAACGACAATAGGGACCGGTTCAGTTCGAAGATATCCCACCAGGCCTGCCTGCTATGGAGCCCGATACTTTGCTTGAGAGTTGAAGCACAATCACGACGCGTGGAGTTGACTGTTCCTCATTAAAACTGCAAAATTCTCATTAAAGTTTTACGCGTCCCTGTCTATTCACTACTCAGATGAACGGTGCTCACATCTCTCCCCTCTTGGCCAGTATACTCTCTTTCCATATTCCTTCAAAGAAATGGTAGTCATGCCACAGATTTCTGCTTCTTGACTTTGTCACGTAAGAACCGAACTCCAGTCACATCACTCAGGATCACTGTTTGTTTACTGCCCGACAGTATCCAACGTCTTTCCTCCCTCGTCCGTGTTATTCCAAGACCGTCGATAGTCAGCACCGCACGCTCGCTTGAGTTGTGTTTGTGAGAGGGGGAATATTTTTTTAACACGGCTAACAATGGGATGCCCCTGGCAGCATGAGCCTAAGACGGCCATTGTCCCGGCATATTTGCATTTTATATCGGATTATTGGCCAATCGTGAGCATTGATTGCATCGACCGTTATGTGAATACCGTTAATCCCCCCCCCCCGATGGTGGACAAGGCACAATGAGTTGTTGGCAAACATTTTGTAGTGGAAAGTTCTGCCAAAAATACACAATTTACCCTCGGGCCCGGCCTATGTTTTGCCTCTTGTTTGAGTTGAGGTCTTGTAGCATGATAAACAGAAGGGCCACAGCGAATACAGCTTTTTGTTTTGAAGAACACATCAGTAAACAGCGTCTCCCGTACAAGTTAAAACCTTTTTTTCAAGATGTACTTCGCGTTGGGGAGATGTTAATTTGTAATTACGCGTCGGGTAAGGGCAAAACCCGTAATATAAAGATATAACCCGTCAATGAGGATTTCACAAGTTACATCTGTGAGTAGTACTTGTTCCTGTGGCCTGGTTTGGAAAAGTACATTCCCTGATTATCAGGATGAAGTTGTAGGTCTGGGACTTCCATTTGCTTATAAACTCGTATAAAACTCTGAGGAAATCTACACTTACAAAGCAGACTGACTGTACTCAAAAGACTGCTGAGGGGGATGGGGGGATGGAGGTTCTAGGGAAACCGATTCTTGTCATTCTACCCGACTTTACAGTAAACTAAATCCTGCAACATAAGAATCCCTATCTTTCCTTAACTGTCTTCACGTGAAAACTGAAAACATGCTCGTCTTTCAAAACAAACAAACAAACAAACAAACAAACAAACAAACAAACAAACAAAATAGTCATGGCCACCAACCCCGTCTAGTTTTCATTACTTCAAGTCCAAAATCGATGATCTGCCAAGAGTAAGCCTACGCAGTTACTTAATAGGATTGCATTTTCGCGGAGCTAAGAGACCATCTTAGTGGCCGGCGCCTATTGTTGTTGTATGTTCATCACGCTTCTATTAGCGCGAAGTAGGGATTTCACCTCAAGTGCTATAGTGAGTGCTTATTTGCAGGTTTCTAACAATAATCGCTGGTGGATACAGGTGTGCAGATGTCGTTTTGAGAACTGACGGCTTTCTTCACAATTTACAGCGAGATTTTCTTAGTGATAATGGAGCACTCAGTAGAGACGTAAACCGGGGTTCTGGTCGTGCAAAACGGGGTTTAATTTTTCAAGAAGCGTCTGTTATTGTTTTCCTTCTGAGTTCTCTGTGTTAGCAACTGAATCAAAGAGTGTTTTCCCTGTGAACTCTCTAGCAGATCCGCCATAGGGACCAGATGGATGGAAGCACACTGTAAAAAGGGGAACACTGAACGGAGAGGGACTAACTACATAACATTATAAAGGTGAAGTCAATTCGAAATGAAACATATGCCTGAGGGAGCGAAAACACAAGTGTAAAGAAATCTTGATTTTTAGTACAGGATATTTTATTGACACACACTTTACTCTTGAAACAACTAATGTTTGTTGTGGCCAGTCTAATTTCAAGATTAATATTGTGTTTAAACCTTGGAACCAAACCGGTTGCTGTGTTGAGGCTAGGTTTTGAATCAACTATGAAACTGTTTCGAGCCGTCATGATTTTTTGTTAAAAATTTGCCGTGGTGAAAGATATGCAATGTCCTCATAATGACAATTTACAAAATGCAATGTCGAGGTTAAATAATGATTCTGTACCGTATATAGGGAAAATAGTTTTTTTAAATAGATGTCGAATAAAATGCATAATCCTGTATGTCTTTTTGAGACCCACGGCGTTCTTTTTTTAAAGGCTGTTCAGCCGTGACGTCATCAACCGCACCTCCAAATTCACGCCTTGGTGGGGTTGTAATGAAAGAGATATTTAAATCTGTCCGTTCTCTGCCCTCGTGGACTGTTATAGGGACAATAGGCGGGATTTTTGAGTCAGATTACCTGGCCATGTGCAGCATGGGCTGGCTGTCGAGCGGTCGGTTATGTGGACGCCGCGGAGTGGTCCCAGAACACCACACCACGGGAAAACTCTCCAGGAGATTCTTGATGCCTTGACTCGGCCCAACAAGTGGATGTCCGACCCGCTGACGGCCACAAGTGCCTCGCGGAGGTCTGACGATTTTCAAGGCGATGCGACATGGGTCTCGGCCAGCGTCACGATGAGCGGCAGCCCGTATGGGGACGCGAGCACGGGGAGAGCCACCCGAGCGTGGCCGCTCAGCGTCACGGTGACTTCAAATCCAGGGACGATATCCCCCACCTCACTAGGTCGAGATGTGACCGGTATGAATGGCGTCTCTGAGTTCTGGTACCGGTATGGAATAAGTATAACAGTGGCATTCTTGGTATTGGCAGTGGCCTTTGTGTTGGTGATTCAGTGTAGGATTTTATACAAGAAGAAATTTCGCCGTCGTAGGCTGGTGGATTTAGCCGAGAACCGGAACAACAAGGCCAGGGAGGATGTGTTTGAGAGCTTCCACCGACAGGAGACAGTACAGGCGTCTACGTCGAGAAGTAGGCTGCAATCTGCCTCCACGCACGAAGACATACCCATGAGACTGCTTCATGACGCTCAACCTTACCGCCAGCCGTGGCGTGCCCCACCAGCCGGCCGGGCCGCCGAGCCGCTGGCCCGGGTCTACCCTATCCAACACCGCGGCCCGGCCCGGGACGTCAATGCCAACATCACCGACCCCTTTCCCTATGAGTCCTACCGTCGGCTGTGGAACATCACGACCGGTGCGTACCCGATACGCACCCACAGAAAGGTCTTGTCTGAACCGACCATCGCTCGGCCGAGCAGTCGACGTTATTTCTCGCGCAGCCGTAGCCGTAGCCACGTCAGGAGAGTCCGAGTCAGGGCGGACATCAGGATGCCTCGTTTCAACCTTTCTGGGACACGGGTCGTCACGTCTCCGGAGTCAAATGGGAACCAAAGGCTACCACAACGGAACATATCGGCACAAGTCAACAGAACGACATTTGCTGAGCCGAATACCTTGCTAACAGAAGTAGGTTTGAAAATAAGAATTCAATACTCATTGAGACAAAATTCAACATTTCTACGGAGGCGTTTCAAAACATTACAGTGTTGTAGATTGTTGTAGGTGGTTTGTTTCATTATTCGTGTTCAAAAAGCTGTAGCGGTAATTCTTCCCTACGGCCATCAGAAAGCAAAAACACGACCAGAAAAGTTCAACTTAGGAGGGCAAAATACGAAGTCGTTTACTGAGAAGACACTTTTTCAGACCAGTCTCATAGGTTTTGTGCACAGGGTGTCAAGTGGAGTCCGTATATGGAACTCTTTCCCTATGGTGTTTCAGGATGGCTTCTGACTAGCGCCCAAAACATGTTGACAAAGCCATCAACATAGGGCTGGATACCTCAGTTGGTGGAGCACTGGCCTGTAGGCCGCACGTTCAAATCCCGCTCCAGTCAATGTCTTTGCCCATCTTTAGAATCAGTTGTAAGCACCTAGTCAGTTTCCCTATGTAGTTTGTTTCATGTTGTAGAATAAATGAGAAATGTTGAAAAGGAAAGATTTCCATGTACGGACATGCGACAACACTAATTTTCCCTTAAAATGTTATAACAACCGTCAGAAAGTGATAACGTCCTAAAAAGTGAAATTTAGCCGAGAGAATCCGAAGTATTTACTGAAAAAAAAACACCCGGGTCTTTTCAGACAAATCTTGTAGGTTTGTGCATAAGACCTCAAGTGTTGCCCGTATATGAAACTCTTTCAGTTGAAAAACTTGTAATGATAAATTTTTACCTCAAAAATGATGAATAGTGCTACCAAAGCTAAATAAGCGAAGCCTTTGATGGGCATCTTGGAGATCAAGCGTATCAAGCATTCAATATGCGCGAATTAATATGAAAGAAACACTTGTGACCATGGGCGTCGTGGGGGAGGTGCAGGATGCTTGACCAGTCCCTTGAAAACTATTATAAAATAGGAAAAAGGGGGAAAAGAAAAGAAATGGGAGAAAAGTGAAAAAGAGAGAAAAAGGGAATGAAAATCAGTGGTCTCTTGAACATTTGAACTCCGAGGTGGATGGCTTGTCAGCTTGCTGCTGAAGCAGTGGCATATCCAGCGCGGGGGGGGGGTGGAAACTTACCCCCACCTCCGACGGATTTTTTTTAAAACTTAGAATACTTCATATATGAGTAGGAAAGAAACTTATCGGTATATTTATTTATCAAATAAATAGGCTATATGTTTCTCCCCATTTTCATGTTGAATGAGTACGAAAGTGCATTTTGCTTTGCGCCCAGACACCGAAACAGCTGGATACCACTGTACTGAAGATTGCTTCCCACCCCACCCCCCAAGAAATCCCGGCAACACCCATGCTTATGACAAACCACGGCCGGGTTATTTTGAAGTGAATGCCCTCATGGGACCAAACTTTGGGAGGAAAGCGTCATGCATTATAGTGGAGAATTGACTCAGTCTGATGAACCAAAATTACCAATCCTTCTGCAACGGCTTCTCTGAACGAAGTGACAAAGCTTACATGGTTTCTGCAGCGACCAAGCAAAATGGATGACTTTGAGAGTTAACTCGACGGATTATTTTATCCTAGTATAATGCAATGGGTTAACGAAGACCTTCAAGCTACGTTCGGACCACTTAAACTGATTGAATTTTACAAACCTAACTGTTTGGAGGGGTTGTTTTCAAACTCGCACTGTAACTTTTGCCAACCACAAGACCCCAAGCATTAATGTAATTTTACGATGTTAGGGCCTCGGCAGCATATTGAAGTTTGCAAATTGTATGCATGCAAAGTCACGTGATTTATTTAACTGTGTTTAGTCTGTGTTTTGATCTTATGATTTTACACCACAGTTGAAATTGCAAAGGCAGATCCAGGAGGTGGCAAGGGGGAGCAACGGGGCCACGCCCCAAAGAACCCAAAATGGGGGAGGGGGGGGGGGTAAAAGGCGACTTTATTTAATCTGTTTCCTTTCCTTCTAAAGGCGAGTATGTACTCTCACCCTTCAGGGAGGCATTTAAACGTTAAATTTACAAAAAAAAAACCTTATTCCCCTCCCCCTACGACAAAAAGTTTTTGGACTCTCGAAAAGTTTGTTCTGAATCCTCCCTTTCACAGTTGTGGTGTATACATGTACTCGCGTCAAACAAATAGTGCAATACTGATAGCTGTTCCCAATCTTAATTGGGAACAGCCTTTGTAATCGTTAAAGTTTTTTTCCTTTTTTTTCTTTTCCCGCTGCTTTTTCTAAGGGGCACTTTGCCAATTATTTTAAGTTCGATCAATTTCAAACTTGGTATAGTAATTAACCATCATCAGAAGAAGTGCCGCGAAACTTTTTGTAATCGTGACCTCATCAGGGGTCACGTGACCTCAATTCAAAGGTTCATTCTTTACAGTCTAATAACTAGTAAACTATTTGACCGATTTAACTCAAATTCGGTATGCTCATAGTCGGGGACGTGTTATAGATGAATATTGATATCTTGACCTCGTGACATCTTCTGGTTTGACTGGAACTTGTATTTTAACACACAAATCGTCATATCTCATGCACTATACGTTCAATTGCAGTGATAATTTGTTTTTAGTTATACATGCCACTTCGGCAATTATTTGTTATCCAATTCATTGCAAACACTTATGATACTCGTTGACAGTCATCAAAAGACAATTAAAAACATTTTGGGAAGAGCTATGTGGTCGTTCACAAACACCACCTCTAGTTTTTCTTGTCTCACTGATGTAGGTGAACACTCCCACACCGAAGCTCATCGTTCCGACAAACACCCCCAACACACACTGCACGGACTCGGCTCCGGACGAGAATGCGTCCCCGTACGGGCCGGGGCTGGATTCGGACTTCGGGGCGAGCGCCGGCATTCCTCACTTCACCGTGTCGCCAGATAACAGCATGAACGCCACGGGAGACACGTCCCTGCGAGACGCGACGTACGAGTGGGACACGTACGACCCGGCCTACATGAATCGTACGGTCAGGTACATCGACGGGGCTTATTTCCCTGTTCTGCAGAAGAGACAGTATTGGGTATGAACAGTGAACCAAAAATGATTAGTTTAATAGCTGGATTATTCGATCAATGACAAAGCCAAGTGCGGAAATCTGATAAGCGCAAAAATGTTAGCTCAGCAAAAGTGGTTACTTCTGTTTTTCTTTTTGAAGCCGTGTAAGCTGATTTAACCCTAACAATCCTCAATCCTGCAACTGTTAGACTGAAGTTTGGTAAGGTTAACATTTAAATATATTCCAGAAGGTATTCTTGATATTTGTGCCCATATGACAAATGCCCAATTCAAATAATTAAGCTTAAGAGGACTTTTGTCAAATTCTTAGTTGCTTTTCTTATTGTTTTAATGGAACCAGAAAGGAAAACTGAATTGAATTTTATTTCCCCTCGCAGGAATTATGCAAGAATTAATTTGACTTCTGTTCATAAATTGTATTCGTATTTTGGGAACTCTTAGAAACGAATTCATAAAACTAATGAAACTTACCAAGTCAAACAGTTTGCTGTTTGACTAGGGTAGTATTGGTTATTCTAAGAAAATGTGTGACATTAACAGATGTCATCATCTCCATTGTATATATTTATTGCCAGATATTCACTCCTATTTTTACCAGAAATGTACACAAACTGAAGCTTTGGAATACAAACAGTTCAAGACAAGAATGCTTTGATAAAAAAAAATTAAATCTGACTACATGTACTGAGGATACGACCCTTTCATCAGTTAGACTTTTTGTCACCAAAAAAATGACAGGTCTAGAAATTTACAAATTCAGTTTAACTTTAAAAACCTGTTTTCTACAAAAACTGACTGTACTTTAAAGATTTCTGTGAACTTCAAGACAGGAAAATTTTTTTATGTCATTGTTTTCATCACTTCATCATAAAACACTGCAAATAATCCTATATTTAAGAAAGTCACATGTAAATAAAATACTGGGAAAAATTCCTGTCGTTCTTGATACTAATATGCCACAAATTATAACTTACACACAGAAATATACTAACTTCAAAATATGTACATTTTTATCTGAAAGACGAGGTGGTTAATTGTTTGAAATATGACAGGTCTAAACTCTAGCTGCCTCAAGCTTCTAGCTACATGTAGAGAAATAATCCAAATTTATGAACAAGTACTTCAAAACATAACTTTCGTCTACAAAATAATTTGAAAGACAGATTTTTGAAGGTTAGTTGGCCCCCTTTCCCCACGAAGGAATGTTGTCGAGTTAGTACAAAATACATCTTAAAATCCAGATTTGAAATATAACAATTCTTATAATGTATAAATGAAAGTATGATTTTGAGTATGAGGTGAAGTGAGGTAATTTTAGTTTTCACAAAAAGGAGTCTTAATTCACCAACACAACCTCTCATTTTCACAGGTGGGGTTAGAACCACCATCAATTACACCAACATGACCTCAAAGTTTCCCAGGTGGGGTTAGAACCACCATGAATTATACCAACACGACCCCTGAGTTTCCATGGTGGGGTTAAAACCACCATAAATTACACCAACACGACCCCTGAGTTGCCATGGTGGGGTTAGAACCACCATCAATTTCCCTTCAAACTCTATCTGAATTCGTAAGCATCAAATGACATACTCAATACTTCAATATTCCACTATATACAAATGATCACTTAAAAAATAAATTTTAAAAAGGAAACCCGAAACCTCCCTGAGGTTGCAACTGACATTCTGATATAAGTAAGGTCACTTTGGATCATATCAGTGCTCGCTGTCCCTTTGTTTTTTCAGCTGAGCAAAATTGAATACTATTTTTGATATGTCTCTATGAACTCTTCCGGTTGGAATGACCTAACAGCGAGACCCAAAGAATTTTATTTGTTCACATTTGGATAGGAGTCTGTATGAATAGATGTCATTTCACCAGAATGAGTACAAACCGAGATTCTTTTGTACGGCGCTACTTGGTACAGAAAATGGATGCTTAGCAAAAACAGGTTACCAGACAAATTGCCAGGCGGAGTACGGTGCTCATGACGGGTTCTCTGCTTCCTTTTTGCTTAGTCAAAAAAAAAACGGTTTTACCTAAAAATCTGCTCGGACATTTTTCTTTACCCATAACTTTTCCAACCATGAAATTGTGCTTTGACCCAACCAAGAATGGCACGTTAATATGTCAACCATGAAAATGAGAAAAAGAATTCTTAAACGAGTGTACACGTCCTCCGTGGAACAAATAAGGAAAAGTATGTGTGTTTATAAGTCATCCAGCATTAAGTGGTTAAAGTCACAATCATGTATTGCATTTTTCAGAGCCAATGATGTAACTATTAAGTCTGTGATGAACACTGGGATACCCAAATACCCGATCAAAAAATGACAGGTACCCCACTCTTTTCTGTTTTCCGTTTCATTACCCAAAACTTCCTTTAGAAATTCCAAACTGATTTTTTTTGAAAACACGGTGCAAGCTTTCACATTTTTCTCAGCAGGCAAAGAATATGTTCAAAATATCTTCTACATTCATTTGTATTACAGCGCACAGCATGGAAGGTCTGGTGCGGTCTTGTCACAAGGTTTCTAATATCAGTCACGGTTGTGAAGTTGCCTGACCATGTGATCAGACAAATGAGTATTTACTTTCAATAAAACATGCGGTCACACAAAATCAATACTCTCTACAGTTCTGTCCCCTGAGAAGACTGAAAGATGCTTCTATCCAAACGCAGCTGTCACCTAGTTATTTTTGGACGTAACTGTCATTCTGCATCCTCGTCATAGTCTTCGTCGTCGCTGAGAAGGTCATCATCATCCAAGTCCACTCCATCGTCGGCGTACTGGTTTTGGCTGGGGTCCCTGGCCTGGCGGTTGGCCTCTTGGGCTGCCCTGGCCTGCTTGATGCGCCGGTACATGGGTTCATTCAGGCAGTTACGGCAGCGCTGGGTACGAGGGTGGTGGTATCCAAACACCTTGGGTGGGAAAAAATATGAATTGTGAAAGCCAAAGTCCGTCATGAAAGAACAAACCTCGGGTGAGCTACAGAGAGGGCTTGTTACAGTCAGGTTTCGTGGCTGTAGACCGTTAATTCATCTGTTTACCAATGAATATGCACACCAGGGAGGACTCTCCTTACCCAATGATAACTTTAACATTTGGCATCAACAATCTAAGTATGAAATCATCATACACATCTCCCAATTATGTTTGATGTGCTGCACTGTCCAGGATTTCAGTCGGGAGGGTGGAGACAAATCGATTATCTTTTTCTAAAACGATGGTCCAATTTTTTTCTTTAACAAAACAAATACCCTCCCCCTCAAAAGGAAGATGGCTAGCACTGGTTTTAAAGGGTTGGTGCTTCCAATTCCTAAAACAAAAATTACCAATAAATACCTGAGGGGGAAGGGAACTTTCCCCACCCCCCAGATATGCCACAGACACTGTGCCAACCACTGTGTATGAGTATCAAGGCCACCTCCTCCCAACCTTAGGAAAAAAAACGGACTAGAAGTTTTTCTTTTTTTAACTAAGCTACTGGGGTGGTTCTAAGTGTACATTTCATATTTGATGAGGTTTAACAATTTCCACACAGCTCACCTCCTCGCATACGTCCTGCCATCGTAGGTAGTAGTCATAGGCCTGGTTGTACTTGCCCATATCCTCGTACATGATGCCAGTATTCAGGAGGATCCGACTGGCCAGTACGCTGTACTCGCCGTAGGCCTGAAGGCACAGATCAATTGCTTCCAAGTAGTACTGAAAAACAACAGAAATGAAGATTCAACGAGTTGACATGAAGAAAAAAAATATGACAGTGGTGAATTCACTGGCATTAATCAGAATGTTCCTGTTTTGTACGGAGATCGACTCATGATTCATAATCAACTCAAGATTCATGATTGATTCCTGATTCAGATTGATTAATGACTCATGATCGATTCGTGATTGATTCATGATTCAAGATCGATTCATGATTAAGATCAATTCACAATCAATTCATGATTCAAGATCGATTCCTGATTGATGATTGATTCATGAT